GGGGTCCATAGTACCGGAGAACATATAAAGTTATAAACAGCGTCTAAGATTGCTAGCTACAAAATGAGGTTATATGTTGGTAAACTAATTCCCCCACCACTATTTTGCGAAGTGTCCGCCACTGAATATATAAGAGTGTCAAAGAGTGACAATTCCACCTACATATATTATAAATAACAGATAGTAATGATGGATTTACATTTTTAATTACAAATTGGTATGACAATAAGTGAATTTTGTCACTTTGTGAACAAGGCTTTCTGTATCAATGTCCGTAGTTCCCCAATGCAATAATCAAAATATATTCTACAGTATGATCAATTAAACTTATACCGACTTTCGTCCTTCATTTTACTAATATCAGTGCACTAGGGAGTTTTTCAACTACAGTACTGTAGGTACTATCTTTCTGGGTACCATACTTTCCTGAATATACCCAGTATGCAGCATACTGTACAGGGAAAAGCAATGCCATATCCAACATTATTATAACAGAATTCACCTACTGTACAGTACCAGTACATGAAAGTTCTAATTTTACACATTTTATTTAATAAATGTATAATTACATAATCTAATATGTTTTTATCTTTTTCAGCCATTGTTTAATATATGTCTCCTTTATCACAGGCTGGCACTTATTTAGTTTAGTTATAGATTCTTTCTTCACACCAAACATATCTCCAAACAAGTCAGCTACAGTTACAATTTCTATCCCAAGTAGTTGTGCTTGCACTATACAATTTGAACTACATATTATGTTTTGTGTTTCAATTTTTCTGTGACTCATTTTTATCATCGACATTGAGCGTGTATTTTGTGGAAGCCTCTTAGGAAACTTTAAGTCTTCTTCCTTTTGCAGAACACTGACATTAGTCAACAAATGTGTGACATCTCGACAGAAAAACAAACTAATACTGGCGCCTTTCTGACAAAGTACTTGTTTGATACTGTCAGCAGTCACATGTAAATGTTTGCTTGGACAAAGGTGAACAAAGAAAACCATACCTTTAAATGGCCTCTCTACATCTACACTTGCACATTCTTGATCTATAGAGTAGAGCAATAAGGCAATTAACAAATAAGGTGTACATGTACCACAGTCACAACAGAATACCACTTAGTCAGACATAAATTTACACGTTCCATATCTTTTTTCAAATACATATTATAATACTTTATAATACTGCAGCATAATAATTTGATCAGGATTGAACCACATGATCATAGGAATTTTTATGAAATTGTGTTTAAATTTAAAAGTTTAAATTGTGTTTAAATTGTGTTTAAATTTAAAAGTTATAATTATAGGTACAGTATAATACTCCGGAGTGAAAGGCCATTAATAACTGATAAATATGCCAATGTCACTCCATGACAAGTTAACCCTGGTCCCATTGAGAAGAAAGTGTATTCTCCACATCCAGTTACACTACGTCTACCCACTTCATCTAATTTCATTTCACAAAACTACTGGCTATACTATAGATTAGGAAAACAACATCTCACATGGTCTCCCAATATCTTAAATTTAAGCACTATCACAATAGACATTTGTATTTGCCGGATAGTACCAGATCAATGGCAACCAGAAAGTTGAGTCTCTGGATACCAGTCCTGAAGAGAAAATTATATTGGATACCTGGGCTTTATCCAAGCACCAATGAAATGGAAATATTGAAGAATAAATTTTCTGATCAACTAAAATCTAAAATTTACACAACCTTGAACTGGAAGAGCGAAAAAGCCGCAGAAAAAATAAGCTCGAATATGAGTATATCGATGCATATTGCCTGCAATATTTACATTCACAAACCACACGGTTACATCCGAGCAACAAAGCGGCAACATAGTCTAAGATGTGGAAATAGCAAAATCTTTCATGGACTTTGCCCCTTCGCTACATTCCTGCGTCACAAAAACTGAATCTTCTTTTCTAAAACGGGGGCAGCAAAAGTCCTTGCCTGTATTTGGATAAAGCCCTGGAATACTGGATAATAGAGAGTTTAAGTTTGACTTCTAATACTAATACCAATACCGATACTAACAACATGCCATGCGCATGCTCTCTGCTCACAAGAAGCACGAGCTCAGGACAAGTGTATTGGAGTACACCACTACCGAAGTCGGCTTTGTATTGGAAGTCAGGGGAATGGTAAGATGAACTCATATAAATCAGATATTTCATAATTTTTACGATAAACATGCAAACTATTTTTTTTAGCATTACCTGAGTCATGTTTTAGTCGGAATTTTAGCTCAGCTGCCTTTTAGTATACTGCACATTTTCGGTGACGACTAATGTGTTCTATACTTTATCTGTTGTACATGATAACTTAACGCTTTAAAATTCCAGGTACCACAATGAGAACGGAAGTGAAAACATTGGTATCGGTATTGGTAGTCTACTTAAACTCTCTTATATGCAGTAATTGTCCCTGTTTCAAAAGACACAATATACAGTATTATGGTATTCATTGTCTAGTTGACTCTGCAGTGGTGTAGGTATGGTAAAGTGCAAAGTTAAGGCCTAAAAAAAGACGCCAATTTTAGCACACTGCATGAGCAGCCCGTCCACATTGTGAGTGTGTCCACACCGGGCAAGCTGAAAAGTTTGCTTGACCGCAGTGGGAATTAAACCTGGTTTGGAGGTATAAAGTACCCAGGGGCTATTGTAGTATTGTCTATGATTTATTTGGTCAATAATCTTGACCCACAGGATGCATGTATAACTGCCAGTTCATGTTCATTGTGCCTAGCCCTAGATCACACTGGCTTTTCTCATGCTTGTACCACATGATCATAGGGATTTTTATCAAATATCACAAATTGTGTTTTAAATTTAAAAGTTATTACAAGTGCAAGTACAAGCCCTACCGATACAAGGTTCAGTATAATACCCTGCAAGTGAAAGGCTTCTATAACTGATAAATATGCCAAATATGTCACTCCAGGACAGCTTACTTTCTCACTTGTCAAAATGATCAAATTTCAAATGGGTTTCCTTATAGAAAAGAACCCTTGTCCCATTTAGAAGAATGTATATATATTCTTCCCATCCAGCCACAGCTGAAAAGTTTGCTTAACCGTGGTAGGAATCGAACCCGGTTTGGAAGTTTATAGTACCCAGGGGCTATTGCCTATGATTTTTTTGGTTAATTAATAATCCTGACTCACAGGCTGTATTGCATGTGTCATCGGCCATCCCGGGGGTGGGGACCCCGGGCTGGAGTGGAGACTTTGACAATTCGTGTTGAAAACATTGTTAATTCCCCCTCCCTGTGGGGCTAAAATGCTGTTGAATATTCAACTTTTCCCCCTCCCCTGGAGGAAATTTTTAATTTTAATAGTTTCACAAAGACAGTTTTTATTTGTTTCGAAACACTAACAAATGAGTATATAAATGCCAGTTGTATGTTTTGCTTATACAAAAATATGCCAACAATGTTTATTATTAGGTAATTTTAATTCTACTCCGAATGGAGTAATTTTACATAACTCGTAACAAAACCAGTTTCAGGCGCGACCTGAACGCGTAAACAAAACTATAGCTACAATTACTATATGTCTACAAATAGTCATGTATAAAGTCAATTAGGAGAAGTATTTTACAAATATAGAAGAAAGTTGCTCTTGTATTAAAGCCATAAAGTTACAGTGTTCAAGTACTACTGTAAAGTGTTACCACCATTTAATAAAACCTAGGTTACACTATGCAAGTTTTGCAAGCATTACAGTATATAACATACGTTAATTCGTGCAACACTATTACACGATGAAATTTTCGTGCAACTTGTCTCACAATACCAGTACAAGACAACTTTCATGAGGTGCTCATACGCTGCAATAGATTTTGTGAAACTCGCATCGATTGGGATTGGGACCGGGGCAAGCAAACTGACTGTAAGAGCCAATAGACCTTTTTAATAAGTCTGCCTTGTGACGTACTTTGCGGATAAATAAGATCATTTGGCCAATCAGACAAGCCAAATGGCTGTGCGGGGTTTTCCTTTATCCGCAAACTACGTCTCAAAGTAGACTTATTAAAAAGGTCTATAGTTCCAGTAAACATTGCGAGACAAGTTGCACGAAAGCGCAATGCTAAAAATAATTGCTGCTATCGTTGCGAAAATTTGAATACACTTTTACTTTGTGCAACTTGTCTTGCAACGATTTTGGCCATTGCAAGGCATGTTAGACCGCGCTATGATTCGTGCAAATTATCTTACAACAGCGTTGCATCGTGTATTAACAGCGCAATAAAATGTTCTTTAAACATTAACAAAACGTATTCAAATGTCAACCACATAAATCACATTGGTAATCGTCAATCAAGTCGGCTTCATCTTCTTCGATTCCCACACAACTACCATGATACCACATCTCACAGGTGTCACACTGGATCATAAACCTAAGAACAAACCACATACTTGTTTGAATGCAAATGAGAAACGGACACAACAGTGACAGCACTGTGTATACTCTTTTAAATAGGCCTCGTACTCTGACCTGCCGTCCCAAGGCTGCATGCATATGCAATAAACATCATCATCTTCATCATCATCCTTTTCATTCTCATCATCCTTTTTATTCTCATCAGCCTTTTCATTCTCATCTTCCTTTTGATTCTTATCAACCCTCTTACTTTTGTTCTGTGTTGCTGCTGAATAAGTAAATAATTGTGATCATTATTTATTTAACAGCTTTTCTTTGGTTTGAAAATAAACCGTTTTTGAAGATATTAGCAAGCAAAGTGCATTGTGCTTATGCGTAGTTACAAGAGTAACTTATTCTAAAAAATACTGGCTAGAACGTCCAGCTAACTATTGGCAGCCGGAGGACCTATATCGCAATGTTAAATAATTTACCTTTATAACTCAACTTGTAAAATACCCACCTTTCCTTTTTTTCCCATTGTTCACATTTTCTAGCCACATTTGAACATCCGATTCGCTCAATAAACATTCAGATGCAAGTAATTTTACATCATCTTCGGTGAATGTTGCATGGGTCTTTGCAAATATCTTGAGTATTTTACTCGGAGGCTGGACAGAATAGTTCATTCCATTCTTTACTGTCCATTCATATTGCAGTTCAGGTGGTAGATAATGACCGGTACAATTTTGTTTATTTTGTTTGCAATTTTCACAGTTACCTCCAAAAGGTCTTTTAGGGTCTGGAATAGGAAGCGGGATGAAGGTAATGGGAGGACCATCTTTGAACCATGTTGCTTCTTTTTCAGGACAACCTTTACGACAAACTGGATGCACACAGTCTCGTTTGTAGCAGGGAACTAGCATGAGGATGTAGTTTTCAGGCAAATCTTTCACCATGTGGTCTTCTCTAACACGCCAAATTTTTAGGAAATAGTTGTATTCTTCAGGGTGTCCTTCCTGAAGTTCCTTCTTTTTCTTTTTAGATTCTCTCAAAAAAATTAACAATCGATTACGCCTTTCCTGTTTCTTCTTGCTAAATTCATCAGTGCTGCCCCTTGTCAAATGGATAGGCTTACCACCACAAGGAGAACCATTAACTGTATTGGTGTAGACAGTTATTGCAGCTTCAAGATTCTTACACAGCTTTTCTTGATCCAATTCACCATTAACAATGTTGGAGCCATGGATTGTGGATGGTATATATACATTAGAATGTCCTAGAGCAAGACAACCGTTCTGTAATTCAACCTTGTTGAGATAACTTCCTCCTGCAAATCTTGTAGTCACCATTGTGCAAATTTTACCATGATTAATGTGTCTTTCTGTCCACATAAACTGCACTTCATAGTGGGATGGTCCCTCATCTGTGGCACCATCTACTCTGATACAGTCAATTTGGCCAGCAAGGGAAGACTTGGCTTCATCATTACTTTCCAACATTTCCAAGTCACTAGCATGTTGAGCTGGATTCTTGTGATGTACCTTGTGAGCTTTAACCACTCCTATGCAAGTTTCTGGTGTAGTTTCTGTCTCCAAAAACATATACGATGATGTTTGCAAAGTTGCAGTATATTTATTTAAGAAGTCAGTCGTCCGTGTAGTCAGCTCGGGATTTCCAGCTTCTGCGAGAATCTTGTGTTGTTTATGTGTAAACGTGGAGTCTAGCCGAAAGCCAGCTGCGTCATCCCTATTCAAAATCATTTTATCTCTTCCATCTTTAAGTTGTAGGAAATCTAATCCATTGTACAAGGCACAGCTCCAGTGAGCATCAACGTTAAGTTTAACTGAAAAACCTTTCCTGGCCCGTTTTGAGACAATCTTAGCGACACCAAAATACCTCTTCGCAGAAAGCTTTCTTTTATTCTTAACGCAGCACAGTTGAACAACAGTACCATAACCAAACCGAACTCCATACTTCTCTTCCAGGTGTGCCTGGATGCGTTTATAAGTAAGCTTTGGCCCCCGTTTAGTATTTCCACTGAAAGTCAACAGTCCTGTTTTTCTCCAGGAATCTGCCCCAATTGGATTTTCGCGAGCGAATTTTTCAATGTCTTTTCCAATATTGGGATATTTTAAAACAGTTTTGGATACACGATTGGGAACTTTCCTTTTAAGTATGCAAAGGCGAGCAACATCTTTGGCAATAAGGCGCTTTTTGTATTTTTTTAGAATAATGGCCTGTTTTTTAATTTTGTTCTGCAGTTGGGATGATTCAGCTGTAGCTTCTTTCAGTTGAACCCAGTCTTCTGGGTCGTCACTTTCTGATTCAGTAACAAATTCTTGATCTTCTCTGCAAGCTCCCTGTCTGACAGCAAGGTATGCTTGATAAGATTGGTCTGCACAATTTTTCTCTGCGTCAGTTAGATCACTTTTGGGAATAAAGCTGGCAAGATCTTTAACAAGTTCCTCTAAACTACCTTCTGATAAGTTGTTAATGTTTAGTTTCAATTTCTCAACGAACGAAATCCAGTTCATCTTATTTTCTTTGAGCATTGATACCAGAGCAGAATGATTTAATGAACTAGTGGTTGTATGTGTGGCACTCTCTGTTTGTTCCAGCAGACCATGTGATGAGATATTTTGCACTCCTAAAGATTGTTTATCCTTACTCTTTTCCATCGATCCTCCATCGTTTTCATCACCACTTATCCAAACACACGATTCGTCCCCACTACTTGTATCTGGAGAACTGCTGCTGACAGTAAAACCAAATTTCATGCTGGCACTCTTCGCTTGAGCTATCTTGTTTACAGTTTTTTAATCTCCTTATACTCTTCTATAGCCTCATAAACCATAGCTTTTTCCTTATTTAAATTGGAAATTCCCATTGCTTTTGCTTCATTTCCTGATTTTCCTTGGCAACATGCAACTCTAATTAATTTTCTATCCTTTTCACTGCTGGCTAACTCACACATCAATTGTAAACTATCTTTGTCTACTCCTGATGACATTGTTTTCTGGGGAATATACTTATAAACACACTGAACAAGTTTTGTATAGTCAACTCTGTCAACAAACGCAGTTACAAATAACTGATTAAATGAACGAAAAATAATCACTGGAAGTTGAATTATACGGCGAATAGCTTTGTCTGATTTATATACAGTTCCAAAACATTGTCTGTATAATGCTGATAATGGAACAATCCCCTTTTTTGCTATTTCATTCGCAGCAATAACAACAGGTTTACATGTAACACAAATTCGATCACTGTGAATATCACTACAGTGTCTTTTAACTGCCACAATAAATTCAGCTAAAGACATGTCCTTAATACATGAAATATACAAGTCATCATTTAATTTTCTGCCTTCAGTGAGATTTTGCTTCATATATTTCGTGTATTTTGCAAGACATTTCTCAGAGTTGAGGTGGCATTCATTTGTGCCCCCCAAAGTAGATGAATCTACTTTGGGGATTCTGAAAAATCCTGGACTGATTCACTGCTGGTTCGACTCTGCGACGATGTGACAGAAGAAGTACTGATACCAACAGTTGTATTTTTCCTTACCAAAGGCCATGGTGTATCACTAATTTCATCACTAATTTCATCACTAATTTCATCATTAATTACAGGATTATCACTGCTAACAAATACATCACTGCTTCCAACTGACTCAGGAACTTCTTTAACTTCTCGACGCCTTTTCTTTAATGACTTCTTTGACTTTGATTCTGATTTGTTGAGTGCTTTCAACTCGTTTTCAAGTATGCCTTTCTCTCGATTTTTTTCAAGAATGGATGAATTAACATCGGCTGCTTGAAGGAACTTTTCAGCATTGCTGTACTGCTGCTTTTGTTTACATAGCAACTCAATCGTTTCTTTAAGAGATGATATGGACTCTGTTAGCTCTTTTACTCTAGCAGCTCTTATTTCAGCACCTACATATTTTCGTTTTGGTTTTCCTGGTTGCTTGCCAGTGCCATAGACAGTTGATCTTGATGCCTTTTTTGCATATTGATATCCAGATGCATCCACTTTTAACCGAGCTTCTTCAAATAATTTTCCCTTATTTAATAAAAGACTTGCATCATCCTTGCATAACTCTAGGGCAGCAGCATTTACATTTTGTTGATAATTTGTGAGATTGGTACAGGAAAATATTTTTGCTCTTTCTTGAAGCTTGTCAACACTTAGCTCAACAAGTGTTCTCTCATGCTCACTGTCTTTCTCCTAAAATTAACAATGGAGACATTTACAATGTATTGTACAATATTTGCTATTCAAATACCTTGCATTGCTTCTATTTCTCAATGCTTTGCATATTGTCACTTACAGAGAAGATTGTATCTTAACAAGCTATCTGCATTTTGCAGTTTATATTTCACAGTTTATTGTTTATTTTCAATGTCAAAGCATAAAATATTAATCTTACTGTATATTTTACAGTTAACTTTTTGTTTTTACATGCAGCAACATTTATTTAGCAGTGAAATTTCTTATATACACCTGATTTTGAATGATTTGTGTCAAAAAATGAATAATATTCTCAAAGATACTGCAGACAAAATTTCCGACACTAACAGCAATTGGTTTATAGAAACATACTTACTGTAACTTAATTTATCCCTTTCATCCACTAGTTATTACATAATATTGCAACACTACGTACCTCCAGCTCTGCTCCAATAGAAATTGTGTTTCCAATGCCAGCAGTCAGTGTCATTTGTTTAAATTTGTTCTTTTTAACAGGAGCTAGATAACATATGCCAATAATACTGTCAGTATTCTACTGTTACTCAGCTCACATAAATATTCCATTTTTCAAAATGGGCATCTTGCTAAACAAAACAGAATTTTGAGAGGTTTTTTTATTTATATTCAAAACAAAAAATTAGGGTGTGCCAATTTTCTATTAGTACTCAATATACACCTACACAGCCACCCCATCCTCTATGGATAAAGTCTAAAATACCTCGACCCTGTCAGAACAACATGGTCTCTTGTTTCCTATGATGATTATTTAAGGTTGGTCTTCATATGGGGCTATTCATGTTTTGTTGACCATACCTTCAACCATATTATGTAGTTTTTTAGTCTATTTTATGTATGGTCGTAAAGTTAATAAATAAATAAATAAATGATGTATGACATACAGATCTATGCATATATAATATAGCTGCTTAAGTTTGTCCCACAAGTAAAAGTCTAGTAGGGTTGGGGGGGAGTAGACTTTGGATGAAATTGAGGATTAGGATTATGGTCAGGTATATGATGATATACATCATACATTCATGCATTGCAGCATGCCATATATGATAGGGAACAAGAGACTGTACTGGTAAGAATTTGTTATCGACCTTTCAGAAAAGGCCTTTATTTAAATACTAGATTGATCTGGGGGGAGGCAAGTATGGAATGAAGGCGATGTGCATCGCACATGTGCCGTGCACAAAGGCTGCTCTTGATGCACAAATTGGTGCACAATTTACAGTTTTACCCAATAATCCCTCTCTGGTGCACACAATTTCCTTCTGTTATTGCACAAAAATGTTACGTTCCATACTGGGGGAGGTATATTAAACAAATGTACCCCATCTCATCTGACCTTATATATTTTTTTGACAAGAAAAGTATAAAAAATATATACATCTATTTTATAATATACTAACTGGTTGACGAAAAAACCCTCTGGGAACTGGGTTTTTCAGCCATTTCTTGAGAGGCCTCTGCATCCGACTCGCAGATGAAATGAAGGATAGTTCCATCAGAGCAACTTTTCAAAATTTCGTCATCATCAATCTCAGTACCGTCAGTCATGCAGACTTTCAGCCTTTCGACATTGCCCATTTCTAGTTTTTCTTTGCCTGTCATATTACAAACAATGTACTCGATGTTATTTTACTTAGAAATGCTATTTATATTGAGATTATAATTATACAAATACAAAATTTACATATGCAAATCATCTCGCAAATCAACATAAAATATTCGTTTAAATAACGTACCTTTTTTCAGTAAATCTGTCAAGCTATCAGCCACAACAGCCTTTTTCTTGCTGTTGCCCCAAACTTTGAAAAGCATATTTAAAAATTTAGGACACGATGCACATAGATTAAAAAACTCTGATAAATCGCAGCCGAAGAGATGTGTATTTTGGAAATTGGAACGATGATATTCAAATCGCTAGTTATTACATGACGAATTCAGTATTAACCGCTGACCATATTTTTTTACTTCCCCGGGTATTTTCTCCCGGACAAGGGCTTGTTCTTCGCCAATGTTGTGATATCCCCTGGGATCACGGAGCAATTTTGGAATCAATCCCCCTGTAAAGTCCCCTCATTTACAATGATTAGCCCGGGGTCCCCACCCCCGGGATGGCCGATGACACATGCATATGTACTGTCAGTTCAGTTCATGTTGAATGTGCCTAGGTTATACTGGCATTAAATATATCCTTATAAACTATATTAAATGGAAGGGGGGGGGGGGTGTCGACAACAGCAGATTGGTCAAGTTGTATGACTTCAGTGAAAAACTGAAAACCATATTGCTTGATCCACAAACTTTGCGTTACAAATAATCAATAATTCATAACAAACAAATACTACAATTTATATTTTATCCAGTGTTCGAAAGGTCACGATATATATATATATATATAGAGAGAGAGAGAATAATACATGGGTGCGCGGAAATACCAGATTTATTTCGAGTGTTGAACATGATATCTCACGATGTTATCATGTTCAACACGAGAAATAAATCTGGTATTTCCAAGCACCCATGTATTTTTCTGTTTATTATATAAAGGACAGTCTTTGAAAAGCGATAATTTTTACAGAAAAGCGATATTTGAAAAGCGCCAATTTCACATGTGAGATTATCATGAATAATCTCACATGTGAGATATCACTTTTATCAGTGCTCGAAATCTCTATAAAGCACTATACTTTATATAATAAATATATATAAATGATTATTTGGGGTTAAAAATTTATCGCTTACCATTCTCATCCCGACTTTCGTCGCTCGAGCAACTAATCGGATAGCATCCCAGAGAACTATCGAGATCGGCGCATGTTTCAACTACAGTTGAATGTCCAACAGGTGAGTCACAAAAACCATTTGCCAGCGACAACTGATTGTAATCGTCCAGCGAACAGTCGCTTTTCAGCGATGTACTCGAGAAAGTAAAACGGGCAGTCGAATCGTCTACATCTAACTCGCTCGTGTTGTAACTACAAGGTGATGCGGCATTATCAACCGTCAAACTCAAAGGTGAGATACAGCTTTCTACCTCGGAACTGAAATCAGGTTCTTCCAATTCACTCGTATTGAACTCCTCTGACTCCATGAGAAACCACAAACTTAGCCGACGCACATATGGTAAAAACTTGTGGTATAAAATATCGAATAATAATAATATGCGCTGCTACAAGCCTGCAACACTTTCCAACGGTATAAACTTATATTTTAAATAAACATTGAAGGAATGCGATTGGCTTACTCCAGCACGTGACACATTCCTTCAAGATGATGTCATCACCAACATAATCACATTTCAATGAATATCACACAATAAATTTCGCACTTTTCGATAAATACTGTCGCTTGATCGTTTACAAATGAACTGCATGGTGAATAGCTGCAGAATGCAGACAGTGTAAACTACATTTTCCATTTCCTAGCTTGTATAGTATTAAATGTAAAATGCAACATGAAAAGTTGCGGCCTTTTATTGGTCGAGGGTCGAGAGTAAAATGTCGAGGGCGAGGATAAAATGTCGAGGGTAAAATATTGACTGCTAAATGTCGAGGGTGACATATCGTGGTTTCAAGAATCACAAAAAAAAACTATAATAAAGTCAGGATTTAGATAATCTTCTCGGCATCATAATGTTGTATGAGCACTTTTGAACCAAATAAGCAAACGTATGCGCGTTTCACGCACTTTACGCGATATGAAAAACTTCCATAATATTTTGACAATGTTACTGCAATGAAAAATTCGTTGTTTCGATTTACATCGGCCTAGGCGTAGGGCTATTAAGTAAACGGAGCCTAAATTAATTTAGTAGTTTCATTTAGTTGTTTGTTTTGCTTTTATTTGTCAGTACAGAATGTTGTAAATTAAAATATTACTACAATGCAATGCGCGTAGTATTTCATCAGACATCTGATCTACATTATAAATACTGTGCAAGGAAAACTACAGCTTAAATAATGGTAGACGTTTCTTGTTGTGTCAGGAAACATCACGGCTTACGTCGACACTGCTCTTAAGTTTTGTAACCGGTCAAGGCAAAAGTAAATCATACAGTCGGGAAAACGTCTTACTTCGAAAGATTATTTTGCAAAACATTCTCGTACTCACAAGAATCATAAAAATACAAATTTTGAATTGTTATTGTCAACTGTCAAGTTCAGTTATTTTTAGACAATATGGTGTTAGCCAATCAGAATGCAAAATTGACCGGCCCAGACCAGGGCTTTCTCGTGCCTCGCCTCGCCCTCATACGAAAGTCCTGGGAACGAGGTTGCATATCAAGTTATTGAACTGTTCAAACAACAATTAAGCCCCGTTTGCATGAAACCAGGATGAAGTCAAACCGTAAAGAAAATTGAAAATGCCGACATGTTTACATAAGACCAGTACGAAAATCACAAAACTTTCAATTTATTCCCCTTGCTAGGAAATAGTCTTTTTTTAAATGGCTTTTGTTAATTAGCATGTATTGTTGCGACGTCTGTCTGAAGTCAGTGGGTTCCGTCCAACAGGTGGAATGACTTGAAACCGGTCTGAGTTATTTTCGTCCCGGTCTCATGTAAACATCTCTTATAAATAATACTATGACCGAAACGAAATGGTCCCGGTTTGACTTCGTTCCGGTCGTATGTAAACGACGGGGCCTTTGAGCATCTGCGCGTTGATCGATCTTCGGCATTTTTGACACAACTTTTTGACATAAATACAGGGATGCCGGAAGTTGCCTAGAGCAAGGGGTGCGATTTGTTATCAAAGGGAGAAAATATTTTAAAGAAGGGCACAAACAAAAATGAAAGGGAACTTACCTATATACATATAACCTAATTTAAAATCAAACACAAACAACGAAACAACCTTTTCTTCATTTCAAACATTGAAATAACGCTTAAGATACAACGCTTAAAATGAAAATAAAGTTTAAGTGTGGCAGTTTACTAGGTTATGAAACTAAATCGTTCATCGTTTATAAGATATAAACTTAGTAAACTCCTCCAAAGTAAACTTTTCTTTCTGAGCATTTCGATATAATGTCTGCTGTTAACTGCTTTATGTTTACATCATCCATTCCTTCCTTATGAATTACTTAACTTACTTATGAATTACTTATCCATTCTTTCCTTATGAATTGCGAAACAGCAGTTACTTTCTTAAAGACAGGCATCGATGCCGGCTTCAATTCCATGTTGTACAAATTGAATATGGACATGTAACTCTTTCAATTCTTCAATTAAGAGATCCACTGCCACAAACTTTGCAGCGATACCAAGGTGCTTTATCACATACTCAGTGGTGACATCTGCCTCACTGTTAGCGCACGAGTTTAACATGTGGTTGATATCTTTGACGATTTTATTGGCATTTTCATGAAACCGTTCCTTTGTCGAACTCAAGATACTGTCAATCGCACCGAAATATGCTCGCTTGAGTTCTGTCTTCAAATCGTTGCAATCATGTCCGCTGGGTGCAACATCATGTACGATAAAATCTTCCATTTTCTTTGGTGCCTTTCTTGACCTGCTTACATGATTCGTATCTATTTGTAGTTTTAAATCTTGAACAGCTAGAAAATAAGAAGTCTACATTGACATTGTTATAAATTAAATATACTTGAATAATCTTTATGTTTTATCATATACCGGACTTGTATATGTCAGGCTTTGTTAATGATGGTGTACTCTCATCTTTTCAAATTCTTCAACACACTATAAACATGCATGTGCTCGGCACTTTCCAGTCTGGAGATTAACCCCTTTGTTTGAGCTTTGCATCATTTGGCATCGTTTTTTCAGCCCATAGAAATTATCTTGAAAGTGTCTGTAAATTCCGCATGTTCTGAAGTTATAACATTTCCTGCTGCCTCGTTGTCCACCTAGTCCTTGAGAGGTTATGGAGGCGCAACACATCGTCACTGTCGATCTCATCCTGGATCTTAGAAAATAGAGCCACACGTTTTGGAGAGATTCCAACAATCACATACAGGTCTTCACATAGTGCCTGAGCATTCTCCAAGGCTGGACAGTCGTCGGTACAGTACCGTGTTGATAAAGACATGTGTTCCGACTTCCAGATGTCTGTGGCCTCATCTATACCTATTCAATATGGCTGCATTTGACGCTCTCGGGCCGGTTGTACTGTACGAAAGGCGTTTAAGTAGCTATCCATAGTTTAAATCGCTATCCGCCGGTAAAATTTAAACGCTCGAGAAATCGCGTTGTACGAAGCCCATTTAGCGCTATCCACCGGTTAAATTTTGCCTATATCCACCATGTAAACTTAAACGGTCTCTTGAGACCATTTAAACCGTTATACGGCGGATAAACTCGGACTTTGAAGACAAAACAATGATTACTTCGGATGAAAGAGCATGGAATAGAAATAGAAATGCACAACCCTGTTGAGCAGTGTTCTTTTTAAATTATTTAAAAACTCACTTTTAACTGGCTTGTTCTTGAGTTTTACTGAGGTCACTTGCTCACTTGTAATTCCGTGGCTTTGCAATATTTTCAACGCACAACAGTGTCAGTGTCTATACGTTAAGTATACTGTGGCTTCTTTCCTCCTCCTTTTCTTCTATTAAATAGTTTGAAAACAAACAGTAAGACTCCCACTTTTAGCATTAAAACAAACAATGACTTCGGAAAGCCGAAAAGTATACAAAATAGACAACAAGACGCCGAAAGTCGAAAAAATTTTGTTCGCTCGATTAATCGCTTTGATCAGCCAATCAAAACTTGGGACAAAATGTTCTTAAAATTGTTTTGAAAAGTTTAAGGTCAAGGAACAAATATTCAAACAGTAAAACTAATCAACTGACAAAAGCGAAACATGCACGAAATTATTTTAATAAACCACATCGCATATATGAGGGGCAAATATCCTAAAGGGGGCGAAATTTCTAGGGTATTCGCCCTCCTGGGGAGCGATATTCCTAGGTTATTCGCCCGCGGGGGCGATATTCCTAGGAATATCTCCCCTTTTTTTAGAGGGGGGGTGAATCTTCTGGGGGGGGGGGGGACAACGGCATGGGCAAATAGCAGTACCTTTTTAAAAATTCTATCTTGCCCCCCACAAATTTGAGTTTGCCCCATAAATGCCCCCCCCCCCAAATTCTGAGGCCTGACGCCGCCACTGCCCACACTCGACATTTTACCCTCTCCCTCCATATTTTTCCCTCGGGCCCCGTCGACATTTTCCCGTCGCTCTCGGCATTTTACCCTCGCCATCGACAATTGATCCTCGACAGGCGACATTCGATACTCTAAACTCTCAGCTACATGTTATAGTTTAACTGCAGTTTATTGCGGTTCATTACGCATCATTTGTATGGGCAGTGGAAACACAGAATTGGCGCTTGGAAGTCACATGATATAACTATGACAATTTCGATCAGACAAACTTTTTTTCAGTGTTTTTCGATGTAGAAGATTGATAAAAATTTCGCGCAATATACGCATGCAGGAAAACGTATTTTCGAATTTGTCCTACATTTCAAAATATTCTGATGAGGGATGCCCTCAGACGTTTCGAACTACATAAACCAATGGCTGCGTTAGCCTCTGTGTGTCCACAGCATAGCAGTTTGAACTTTCCTGGAAGTCATGGGTAGAAATTTCATACACTCAGCGGCATGGGATTGCAGGCTCATTTGCAGGAATTTTCAAGATGGCGGTTCGCTTTTATAATTAACTAAATAATTTAAGTACTGCCGGTTTTTACACAAAATCAACCAAGAAGGCCGGAAAATATTATGAAGTGGAAAGAGTGATTGCTTCAGAAAAAGAAAAGTCAACTGTAATATATATTAATTTCGCTAGTTTTTTTCAAATATCCAAAATCGCGATATATGTATATATTTAAAAATATGTCAATCGCTTCGATATTTTATGCAAATATTTAAAACATACAAGTTAGATTCTCAATGAAATAACAAGGGGATTGCTCAATATGTTGTCGCCACAGTCTCTTAGGTCAGCAGTAAAGGCCATGGTAACATAGCAACAGCTTTCGAGAGCTTCCGAACAACCACAAATGGCGGAAAGATCATGAAACGAATACGAAAATGGCAACTATATAAATTATTGAAATTTTGCCTATCATGGCCTCTAAAATAGCAGTCTTATGATCCTCAAAAACAACGTATTTCAAGACATTATGGAACCCACTAAACGGGACTAAAATGGCTTAAAATCTAGCGTGAATTATAGTATGAATGAATGAAAGAATTTATTAATTGACATTCCCTAAAATGGGCTTTTCAATGACAATTTACATGGATTTTAGAAAAAATTATGAGTTATCGACTATATATATTTACAACAATCTTATCAAAGTTATTACACGAACTAAAATTATACTATATGTTATAGTTTATGAGTTAAAAAAGTTAAAAAGAAGGACATCGCTTCTCAATAAGAATTGTCTTATGTTTCGTCTTAAAATTGTTCAAATCACTAATTGATTTCAGCTCTGTATCTAGACCATTCCATATCTTAGTCCCTCGGTATTTGAACGATCTTTGCCCGATCGATGTCGTATATTTTGGAATATCCAGGTCTCCATTTCTTCTAGTATCTCGGTTATGAATTCTGTTTCGTAGTTCAAAATTATCACATAAATACTGTGGAGCTTTGTCATTCATACATTTAAATGTCAATAACGCATCTCTGTACAATAGATGTTCTTTGGTTGACAACCATCCTAACGCGTTTAATGTCCGTGATATATGATCATACTTGTGCACCCCTGTAATTAATCGGGCTGCGCAATTTTGGATTAATTGGATCTTTTTGATGTTGCCATCTGACGTATTGGACTGTAATGTTGAACAATAGTTAATTTTACTCATGACTAATGTATCGATGATTGTAACTAGTGTTGACTGATCAAAGTTGTGTTTCACGCGACCAATCTGACGCAATTTGAGATACACGATGAGGACAATACTTGTATATGTTTGTCGTACGTTAGATGGGAGTCCAAAAGCATACCCAAATCCTTAACCTCTGTCACAGGTGCAAGATTTTCTCCCATAACATTAATATGGACGGGAGATTCCAATTGATTCATGAGTTTTCGTGTACCAACCACCAACATTTTGGTCTTTTCTGGGTTTACAAGAAGACTATTGTTACAACACCATTCAAAAATTTTGTGTAGATCCTCTTCTATATGCAGTAACGAGTGTTCCATATGCGACAATGAAAACGATAAAATGTTTTCGAATCGTCAACATACGATTCAAGACTACAACTCTTGGGAACTGAAGACAAACTATCTATGTATATATTAAATAAAAACAGCGACAGAACAGAGCCTTGAGGAACTCCGTACGACAATGCAACAGGCGCCGAAGAGGTAGTTCCAATTCTAACATACTGCCATCTGACAGACAAGTATCTTTTAAATCACTTATGCACGGCAGAAGATACGCCTAGGTTTAGAATTCTTTGAAGAAGCATGTTGTGATCAACACTATCGAAGGTTTTCGACATATCCAACAATATAACTATAGATAACTGTTCATTATCCATAGCTTCCAACAACATGTCTGTCACTGCAATGTTAAGTGTTTGGGTAGAACGTTTTTTCCGGTTACCACTTTGATGCTCCGTTAATAATCTGTGGTTTGTTAGATGTTCTGAATACTGATTCAGTGCGACTTTGTCGCATATTTTTGACAAACTATTTATCTTATCGGCACCTGGAGCTTTGTTTGATGGACTATTTAAAATAATTGTTCTAACTTCATCAGGTGTGGCTGTTCTAAGGGACCGGCCATTATTTATGGAAGGGGGGAGGGGGAAAATGAGGGGGGTGGGGCATATGTATAAATAAATTACTAGAAGGGGGGGCTATTAATTTTTTTCAAGAAAATGAGGGGAGGTTGGCAATTAAATTTGAAGGAATTTGCTTAATAAGCATGGTATCTATTTGGTTGTAATTGCGACTAAATCATGGTCACTGATGTGAAATAGTCAGGATTTATCTTGTCTTCTGTGTGCTGTATGCAAATCAGTCTTTACTGATTGCAGAGATAAATTGACAATGTATTATTACATCAGCTATCTTGATGTGGTTAAATACATTTAAGCAAGGTTAACAGTGGATGTGTTATGCAGGCCACATCCACTGATGGGAGTCTGTGACGTCATATCTGATGGGAGTCTGTGACATCATTAAAGGGGGTTATTTCGCGCCTTGTGATCAGTGTTTCGGTCTGGGTATTCATACTGCCATTGTATGCTTTGCCTAGCTGCAGCAAGTTTAGCGCTTAGATACCTTTCCCCTACCCACCCCACCCACCCATGTTTATTCTAGAGGATTTTATCTGGTAGTATGTCATTTTATTTTATATAATTTTTAATCTCATTAAAAGTAGGATGTATAGACCACTATACATTATATTTTGTTTCCACTGACTTGTCAGTGTGACTGTTGCCGGAGGTATGCCTTGGCAGAATAGCCAGAATTGTCATGGCTATCTCCTTTTGCTGCTAATATTACTGATTGTTACTCTCATTGATACGCAGTTGCTATGGCAATACTTTGACTTTGTGCCAACAAATCTAGTTACAGCCTTGGACCACAAACGGCACCTGCCACCAAACACTAATATTAATTATCTGCCGTTAAACATGGTTACAATCGCCCAGACCAAATGGAAACCTGATTTTTGAGTTATATATGAAAATACCCCTCTTTTATTTATAATTTTCGATTCTGCTAATATATATTTTTGGTCGACGTTAATATCTTGTCAGCTCCATATTCTTATTTAATTAATAATTAACATTATTAATAATTAACATTATAACGCCTGGGTATCCCTATTTGTCGAGTATAAAATGAAAATGGGGGGGGGAGTCAAAGAAAAATATTCTAATATGTAGGGGGGGTCATCAATAAAGTTCTGCTCTTTTAAGGGGGGCTTTCAATTTAAAAAAATTAGGAAAGAAAAAATTCTCCTCCCCCCCTTCCATAAATAATGACCGGTCCCTAAATTCAAACAGATCAAGAGAAGATCGGTGTCTTGCAGGTGGTAAAGCAGTTGCTATCTGAATGTTGTTAACTTCCGCAAGTCTCTTGACCTTGTCGGCTGCAATCTCGATCCCCACAGAAGCAAAATATTCATTAAATTCATTGGCTAATTTTTTGTGGTCTTTCTGATAAACGGGTTTTTCTGAATCTTTGTTTGGCAGACACCCCCTAATCACTTTCCACATAGATCTTGAATTACCTTTATATTCCTCAATTTGATTCCGGACAAAGTTGGACTCTGCTGCTCTTAAAGATGTTTTTATAGAATTCCTAAGTTGCCTATAGACGTCATAATCTTCCGCGTTACGTGAGAGGCGAAAAATTCTCAGCTTTTTGTCTCTCAGTTTCATCGTGCACTTTAATTCTTTATTAATAAACTGATTAAGTTTGCCTTTACATCCGTTTTCAAAATTACGCGACCTCCCTGAAAAATACTCTTTCTTCAAATGTCATTTTTATGTCACAAGAACTGCTAAAAATAGCAAACGTAAACAAACTGTCAAAAGACATTTTAAACCGTATTTAATACCAAAACTGAACAAAAATGAGTTCGATAACTTAGATATACAAACTAAAGCACAATATAAGTCATCACAACAGAAATATGTGCCATGAATGACTTTTAAAGTTTGAAAAATAACAATATAACCTCGAATTTAGCAGTCAGTACAAAACACGCGCGCTAGACTATAACGGTGATGTTATGATTTTGTTGTGCTTAATTTTTGCAATAATTCTCACTAAAATATCTTGAAAATTATTGTAAGCCAGTTTATATAAAGCATACAAAGCATATACATCGACAAGGAACCGCAAAACTCAAAGTTTGAACTTCGTGACCGAATGACATAAAACTGACATGTCAACTCTAGCATTTTCGTTCTTGGTCGCGCAATTTTGAAAACGGGTGTAATTCTGATGTGTTTGATAGGCGCGTGTTTGTTCAGAGTATTTACGAACAATTGATTGAAATGATCAATTTTCTCATTTACATCACTAATGCGATAGGTTTCATGAAACGAAAGTTGAGACAGTTCTGCCTTGAAACTCTGGGAGTGGTAGTTCTTAAAACTCCTCACATCTTTGTATTCAGGTCGAGGCTTATCAGCTCTAAGTTTAATTATACAGTATATCATAGAATGATCGCTAATACCAATGTCAACAACCCCGCTACTTTTAACTTTAGAGGAGGACGAAATCATAATAACGTCAAGTAATGCACTTGTTTGAGATGTAATTCTCGTTGGATCTTTAATAAGTTGTGTCAGGTGTAGTTCGGAGCAAGTATCTAATAATATTTTAGACTCATAACAAGATGTTTTAAGGAGATTGCAATTCATATCGCCCAGAATAATGATCTCTTTTCCTAGTAACAAAGCCTCAATGAATTTAGGTTTAAATTCATCCCGTATACATGTAACCGGGCAGTCAGGTGGTCTATAAGTAACGCAAACGATCATAGATTTGTTTTTATTCACTTGTATTTGTAACCAAAGTTGATGGAAACCTGCTGGAGAAATATACGAGAGATTTTTCAAAACTTTTGTCTTGAAGTCATTAAGGACGCAATAAATACACACGTCGCCACACTTTTTGTGCTTACGATCAAGTCTGTATATGTTGTATTCCTGAATTTTTACCTCGCGATCGGCATTAGTCGTGGACGTATTTAGCCATGTCTTTGATAATGCCAATATATCTATTTTCTCGTCAACGACTAGTTCTCGTACTTGAATTAAATTATTTCTGTTTCTAAATGACTGCACGTTGAGATGAGATAACTTTATTTTGTTAAATGAATGTTTTTGGTTATTCATTACGATGTTTGGGTTGACTGCATGCGAAATGTTTACAGATATTGTATTTTGAGGATTACGCCTCATCTGCCTAATCCTCTGCCATCGCGGAGACATTCTGATGGGAATTTGAGCCATTATACATACGTTGAAAGGATTCCCTCTGGCGGGCTGTCGTTTCTACCGTCAGTGGATGTTAGTTTCCACGGTTTGCATTTCACAAACTTGGGCCAGAAGGTTTCGTTTTCAATCAAGGGGCATATATTTGCTTGTACATGAAGATCAGCAGAAATTGAACCTTTCCGTTTACTTTTAAATAGAGAAAAGTAAGTTGGTATTACCTTTCGCTTTTCCAAATAGCATAGAATATCCTGATCTTTAACATTCTCAGCAATCCCGGACAAGAAGAACTTTTTAATACTATTTCGCTTTCGTTTAACCCCAATAAACAATTCATTTTCCGAGCTGCAGGGACTTGCATAATATTGTCTGTATTATCCGTACTGGGTTTTCCATTAATCCTGTTAACAGGGGGAGGAGATTTTGCTACTTGAGCATAGGTTCTTGGAGATCTGGATTGTTCATCAATACTTCCGTCTTTACTTGCGCCAGTACTTGACTCGTTTAAATTAATATAGGACATATCATTATCATTAGATTCAGGAACGTTTCTTTCATAAGCGAAATGCGATCATTGTTATTGTTATTGTTGTTATTGTTATTGTTATTGTTATTGTTATTGTTATTGTTATTGTTATTGTTATTGTTATTGTTATTGTTATTGTTATTGTTATTGTTATTGTTATTGTTATTGTTATTGTTATTGTTATTGCTATTGCTATTGTTATTGTTATTGTTATTCTTGTTCTTGTTCTTGTTCTTGTTCTTGTCGTCGTCGTCGTCGCCGCCGCCGCCGTCGCCGTCGTCGTCATTGTTATTTGTTATTTGTTATTTGTTATTGTTATTGTTATTGTTATTG